AGTCTGGAGAAGAGAAGACTACATGGAAACCTCATGGTAACTTTTCAATACCTGAAGGGCCTACAAAGGAGTTGGACAGGGAGTCTATGTTAGGAACTGCAATGACAGGACAAGGGGTAATTGATTCAAACTGAAGGAGGGGAAGTTCAGGTTAGATATCAGAAAAAAGTTTTTTATTATAAGGGTGGTGAGACATTGGAACAGGTTGCCCAGGGACGTGGTAGCTGCCCCAACCCTGGAGGTGTTCAAGACCAGGCTGCATGAGGCCTTGAGCAACCTGATCTAGTGGAGAGGTGTCCCTGCCCATGGCAAGGAGGGTTGGGACTACATGATCTGTAAGGTCCATTCCAACCCTTAAAGTCTATGATTCTAAAATTAACAGATATATGCACCTATGAAGCTATGGCTGTATACACTAGAGTACTCTCAAAAGCAATGAGAAATAAGTACTTTAAACATTTTAAAACCCTACATTTCTTTACATTTAAAACCTACCTCAAATTCATTAGTTATACTGATAGGTCAGTGGTGACTCAAATCCATTTCACACTGGGTTGCAGTGAACAAGCAACACAAAATCCACCAACTCCGTACTACCAGAAGCAAGAAAGGAAACAGGAAACTCGCAGCAAGTTCTAGTTGATAGAGATAAGTTAACTTATTACCACCCTGTTCTATTCACACACAATTCTTTGACTTAATCTGAAGTTTCCATAGTACAGAACTGGCACAAATTTCAGCAAAACAAAGCATGCACTCTAGCTACTCTGGAGACACCAAAGACTCTCTGTATGACCATGTGCATATATATGCATAACCACTGTAAGGGGGGAGATTTTATTCTCTGAAAGAAGAGACCTCAAGAATCACTGCCAAGTGTATGTAATGCACAGACTTTACTTACAGAGAGGTGACCAGAATCAAGCCACAACTTTGTTGAAATAATTCCTAAATTCTCCACTGCCATGTGATATCTATTACAAATCACACTAAAGACCTGGTCACTGGGGAGGGGTGAAAAATCATCCTAATGTTGGTTCCTACTAATAACAAGCCTTTTACACAATACAGTAGAAAACCATGTAACAGGAACAAAATATTAATCATTCAAACAATGACCCACTCCAAACCTAAAGTTGAGAATACCAACTACTGAAAAAATTTACTATTTCAAACCACTATTGTGCTTAATACAAAACTCAACAGCAACCCTCCAGATATGAGCTTGAAGAACACACAAGCATGTTTCCTCAGATTAGAGAGTTACATACAACAGTTCATGTTTTCCTGTCTACAAACCTACTACCTCCCATCATCCAAAACATTACCAAGTGGAAAAATCAGACACTAAAAATCATAGGTCTTAAAGATTCTGCAGTAAAACAAAAAAACCCAACTAAACCCCAACGATCCAAACAAACCCCCCACACTTCATTCAGCCTTAAGTTATGGAAAAGCATTAGCAACAAATGTAATACTTCTCAAATGAGACAGCCTAATAAACTGTTCTAAATCCCTCAAATTGCAGCTTTGTCAGGTTAATTTAAGCAGCAATGGGGAGCCTAACACTTTTAAAAAAAAGTTCTCTAGATGTTAATGTATCGGAATGAGAAATATAACTTCCTTTCCAAGAATTTTTAAGATTTCTTTAACCGGGAAACTGTTAATTATTCCTGCAGTCAAACATCATTCTTCTCTTCTTCCTCCTACTTTCTTCCCTCAAATTTCTTGCTATTTTTTTCCTGTGGAAAATTTGCTGTTGAGCAAAGAGGAAGCCATAACAGACAAGAGGAGACAGCTTACTTTGAATGCAACTGCCACCTTAGACCAAAACAAATGTTATATAGTTCTAATATCTGATTTCTGCTAGTTTTATATGTCAACCATTACTATGATGCTCAGTCAACCTAAATGTAGGAAGAAGAGAGGAAAAGTAGATATTAAGTGGTGAGAGGACACACAGCCCTTAAACAATATCACCCTGTAAGGACGGAGATTGCCGATGGGTTAATGTGAAAAGAAATGAACTATTACAGAGAGGAATTTGGAGAAATTTTGCAAAAGAAGTTACTTGAAATCAGGCTACAACACATTCACAGGAACAGGAAAGCAAGCATTTTGTTCGGGACACCAAGCCAGTTTAGACATGTTTGAAGATGTGGCTATCTTCACAAACCAAAACACTGCAAAGAGAAATTCCTTCTAAGAAAGAAAAGTAGCCTATTAACATCAGGTATAGCAAATCAATTGCAAACAAATGCAACTGCTAAAACAGCTCATTGGAGAAGCATGTTAGTTTGTACTCAGGAAATTCATTTCCTGCTTCAAGACAAGAGTATAATAAAGATTGCTTCAAATGAAATTCTTTTCCATTGTGAAGCTATGTCATTTCAGGAAGACTGGCAAAATCAGTAATGAGTAACATACCTTTCAGACCGAAAAGAACTTTCATGAGGAGAACTTAACATTTGACATGTCTGTAGGCTGGCAACAGATGATGAGGGTAGTTGACCCGATTGCAATTTGTCAGCAGCAGGTAAATTTGCATCAACTACTACGTGGCTGTCTATGTATTTTCTTCCAATTTCTGTCCTCAGGATGTTCGTCAAGGTAACTTTGGGTTGCCTGCCACATATATAACAGTAAATCATAAATACTGCACTGAAATCCAGGGAAAGAAACTTCTTGTTAAATTCACATAACTAAAGAGGCTTGATAATCAAACATCGATACTTTCAGTCCCTTAGAGACAAAAAAAATAAAATCTCATTAAGAAACTTAAAATACTAGGTAAGCAGATACATACAAAAAAGAAACAAGAGGCCAGAGTGAGAAACACTAATCATGTAATTTCACCTTAGCCAAATAGAATTCACACTGTGTTGCCTCTAACACACCATGTGTTGTTTAAAATGTGGTAAATGTTTATCTCTAAACAGCTTTCATGCAATATTTGCACACATTTCTCAGAACTCTTGAGCAAACAATCTAGATTTTCCTGTGAACAAGAAGCCTCCAGGAAAAAAACCTGAATTTTCTTCAGCACTTCTTGAACAGATAGATAAGAAGCACGTATACAAAAAAGTAGCATTAGATTTTGTTCCCCTTCTCAACTATGAGGTGGCATTCTACAGAACAGCAATGCTCAGAAAAATACCTCCAAGTGTTAGAACAGATAGGCATCAAAAATAGTCTAAGCAGAAATATGAAGATGCAAATGCCCATTTGAGCACACACACAACTTACAATGCCACTGCAGCCAGCTTCTCGTACAGCCCATCATTTATCCACTTAGCTTCTCAAACTGGCATCTAAATCCTACCATTTCCATTGTGATTTGTTGACAGCCTAATTCTCCTGTTCATCCACAAAGCACACTCCAGCACAGACTGTGTGATGTCTGGGGAGCACTCAGGTCTCCTCTTGCACCGAGACATAAATTTGCTTTTAATCAGGAGACTACATTACAGACAAGATATTGCAGAGGCACACAGGTGATAAAACGGTGAGGATGGAACTGAGAGGAAAAGTCTAATACAGAAAACCACTGTAGACTGGATGTAAACCCCAATAAAAGAAGTCCATAAACTGTGTACCATCAGAAGCTCAGAGACAAAGCCCAGAGCAAAAAGCACTCAGACTAAACATACATTTCCCTGGGTATGTGCAACTGACCACTGCTCTTGAGCGGGCAAAGAAGATACTGGACTTGATATGCTTTTCTTCTGACCCTTTATGCCAGTTCTCCTATTTTCATGAGTAGTCTGAAGCAGTAACAGTGAAAATACACCCTGGTATCTTCTCTAAGAAAAGGGGTGCAGTTAAATGCAAGTGTCTTCTTTTCACAAGAACAAAAACCCCAAACGTTCTGAGGATCAAGTGATTCAGAGTTAAGTGGTCATGTCAATACAGGACCTTTAAGAAGCCAATTGGTCAGAAGAACCACTACAGCATACCTGGCACCATCTCTCTCAATGACTATCAAAAGGAACCAGGTATGAGTGAATTCAGCAAAGTCAGGTGAAAATATAATTCATGAACCAGACAGCTGCAGTAAAAAAAGAGCACCTTCTCATGAAAAAATAACTGCAAGGAAAATGGTTTTGTTTAGTGACATGAGGCAAAAACAACATACCTTTTAGACAGAAAAAGACTTTGGAGAGTAGGGTTTAAAATCTGCCATATCTTTAGGCTGGCAGCAGATGATGAGGGTGGTTGATCTGACTGGAGCTTGCCAGCATCAGAAAAATTAACACCAGTTTTAGGATGCGCCTGTATGTACTTTCGTCCTATTTTCGTCCTCAGGACATTCGTCAAGATAACTTTGGGTTGCCTGCCATACATATATAATAATTAATTAATAATGGGGCGTTGAGAACTTTTCAAGTCACATAAATTCAACAAAGCTTTTCCATGACTTCTCGGTCTGCATCATACCTTACATCTTCACTAGAATTAAGTTCACTACCTTGACGTTTTACAAAGTAATTCTCCTTGAAGAAGAGGAGTAACAAATCTCTTAATCATGACAGCCTTTCAAGGTTTCTTCTCCTGGCATGAATGACTGACATAGCCATATGTGATTCTGATGAGGTAAACTTTCAGTGCAGAAACATGGAAATTTTGGTGCATTTTTTTTTATTGCAAAATGCTGAAAGTGGTGTGGTTATAGCCTTACAAATTATTCTGAAAGTGCACACTTGAGCATCTGCAGGATACAAAAACAAGCACTCATATTATGGCATCTGATTTTAGAACCATATTGTTGGTTCCCACATTGCTAATTAATTATGATCTTGCTGGGGGAGGGAAAAAAGTCCAGAAGCTAATACAATCTCCCAGTTTTGAAGCTCCAAGTGATTTCTATTCAATTTCACTAAAGAAATTACATACAATTATGAATTACAAAGTCAGTAAAAACTGTCTAATGAAGTTCTTTAAAGAAGTATCTACATAGATAATTGTGATATATTGGCGCTGAAGTCTTCACATAAAGCCTTCATTCTGCAGCATGGCCAGTAATTTGGTCAGCTTCCTTACAGAATCATAAGAGCTGCCAAAGAGCTCCAACACCAACAAGTCAAACCTCTGACTGAATACCACCATGCCTACCACACCATACTGCAAAGTGCCATGTCTACTTGGTTTTGAACACTTCCAGGGATGGTAACTTCACCACCTCCCTGGGCAGTCTGTTCCAGTGCTTGAGCACTCTTTCAGTGAAGAAATTTTTCTTAACATCCAATCTGAACCTCCCATGGTGCAGCTTGAGGCCATTTCTCCTTGTCCTATCGCTAGTTGCCTGGAAGAAGAGGTCAAGCCCCACCAAGGAACTATCAGCTGATAAGTGTTATAGATCAGAGGTCATTTGTCGGGATTTACCTTCTTTTCAAACATATGAAAGCTGGACATGTTTTGCCAGAGCTGGTCTCATGAGGACACTGAAATTCAGATTAATTTGTTGGTTTTAAAGGATTACTAAGGCAAGAATAGGTTTTCTTCTATCGCATGTCTTGCATAACAAACAAAACTGTTCATGGTGTAGAGCAAGACTGGTTTTATAGCTAGAGAAAACCTTTTATTACTCAGCTAGTTGTTACACACATGCTCTGGTAACATTTCTTAAGCAAATGGCTGCTTCTCCTCAGTGGGTTGACCACTGTGCAAGCATTCAGCGCAGCAGCCTGCTTACAACATAACTAGTGGTAAACAAATACAGGTATGGCATGAAAGCTGCTGAAGAACAGACATGCTGAAACCTAAGAAAAAAAGATCTGGAACCACCATGCTAGTGAAACACAATGAAATTGGGGAGGTGTTTCACACAATCCTTTCATTTTGCTCTTTCAATAGTTGCTTCATGTTGAGATCTCTTTTCCCTGGTTACTTACCACCCTAGTAAGACACATAACCCCTCATGGAGCCCAAAATGACAGAAGTGTTCCTACACATGGCTTGGAGAGCCTGCTTATAAGTGATGAAATCCAGCCAATCTTATGAGAACCTTTGCACCACTGAATATCATAATGTATATGCAATGAGCTTCTTTCTCCCAGAGCTCTGCTATGCTTTTCCCAGACCAGTGGTCTCCAAACTCTTTTGGTCATGTAGCCCTATCAGCAGCAACTATTTTGAGCATGCACCTTCAACAAGTTCATTTAATTATAATTTGGAGAGATGTACTAATGTGCAGGTTGGCAGTTGGACTTGATCATAAAGGTCTTTTCCAACCTTAACAATTCTAACACACAAACAGAAATACAAAAAAGGATGCAATTAAGATGACAAACATTTCAAAATGGTACAAAAATACTTCCTTCCTGTACCCCAGTGTATTGTCTTGCACACAACACACCTTGGAGAACACTATCTAGACAATGCACAATAAACCTAAATGGTTCCCATTCAAAACTAAGTAACTTAAGCTCAAACGAAGGTAGTTTCCTCTATTCTTCTAAGACTCCTGAAGAAAAAGTAAAAAAAGCTTAAAAAAACCCAAAAAAACCCCCCTTAAAAAACCCAAAACAAAACCAAATACAAATATGAGGGATGACAAACAAAACAACCAAAAAAAAACCCCAAAAAACCAGAACAAAACACACACCTAATTTAAAGCACGCTGATGCCAAGAACTTGGACAGACGAGAAAGTGCTATGTAATAGATCAGTCCTAATTAGCTGATGGAGAAACAACCCACGGTTTCTGAAGTAAGAGTTTGACTCTATGAAGGCAATAAAAAGTCACATGTACAAAGATAGTCTCCTTAGAAGACCAACCCAAACCACAGTAGTACTCCAGAATGTTTTATGCAGTATGGAAAAGGTAGGTGTTGTTCTTTTACCTAGTCCATACAGTCTATGACTACTAATGCAAAGTATAAGTTGCATTTAAGAAACTTTTACAGAGTCTGAGCATGTGCTTCAAATACTGTGTGCTGGTTTGAGCTGAAGTAGAGATAACTTTCTTCACAGAGGCTAGTATGGAGCGATGTTTTGGGTTTGTGCTGAACACAGGTTTGATAATATGGAGATGTTTTTGTTATTGCTGAGCAGAGCTCACCCAGAGCCAAGGCCTTTACTGCGTTCCGTACTGCCACACTGGCAAGGCAGTTGGGTGTGCATGGTAGACTCGGAGGAGACACAGCTGGGACAGGTGACCCAAACTGACCAGAAGGATATTCCATACCATATGACATCATGCTCAGTATATAAAGTGGGAGGAAGAAGGAACTGGCGATGTCTGGAGTGATGTCGTTTGTCTTCCCAAGGAATCATTACGCGTGATGGGCCCTGCTCTCCTGGGGGAAGCAGTGAATTAATTCCTTGTTTTGCTTTCCTTATGTGTGCAGCTTTTGTTTTCTCTATTAAACTGTCTTTATCTCAACCCATGAGTTTTCTAGCTTTTACCCTTCTGATTCTCTCCCCCATCCCATTGGTGGGGGAGTGTGTGAGCAGTTGTGTGGTTCTTGGTTGCTACCTGGGGTTTAACCATGACAACTGTAGACCTAAAAGAGGTTTGTTCTACACTTTAAGGATCCAGAAATTGGATTTAAAGATATGCTTTAATTACTGAATAGCTTAGAAAATAAACACGGGTCATGAGGGTCAGTTCAGTAACACTAATA